CAAGAACTCAGCATGCGAATAGCTACAAATGTCAGTCATCTACTCACGATTGTCCTTATACGAGGGATATCCAGAAAAAAAGGTTACAAGTGCCCTGGAGGGTGCAGGGAATTTTTTTTTCGAAGGTTGGCATACCTGCGTGTAGGGGGGTTCCTAACGGTCAAAATAAGCCCGGGACCGCGTCATCTTTCGGAGGTGGAGCGGAGCGTATTCGACGAGGGTATAAAAAAGCTGGTGCCCAGGCTGAAGAAGTGCATCGAAGTTGACGGCGATTATGTTGAGAAATAAACACATATTTTGGAACATACCCTGTAAATTTGGTTGAAATATATTCATTTTTCGATTTTTAACAGCTGTTGTAACCTTTTTTTCTGGATATCCCTCGTATTATAAAATTAGAATTCTTTATTTACGCAGCTATCCATCAGGTACTTATTTGACAATTTTTCTACTTTCAAGCCCCCTCATGATCAGAAAATTCGTGAAAATACGCCATCTCCGAAATATGTGCCCTGAACCATTTTAACCGAAACGTACACTTTTTTTCTCTACAGAAATTGAGCGAACAACAGTGAACAACATGCCCACAAAGTTTCAATGTTATACGTTTGCCCTTTTCGCTGGCAAAAAAAAACATGTTTAGAATACCCGACACACCCAAAAGCTATGCCCGGAGAGGATGCCCCATGAAAAGTGAATACTCCCTCAACTCAGTAATATAATGTCACTTATTCGTGTGCCAAGTTTCACCAACGACAGTTTTTTTTTTTCAGAACATGGAAAAAATTCCCCCAGTGGATATATCAAGACTTAACATTTTTCTTTAACTCTTTGTCTCAGTAGTCACATTTATGGAAAGTTTCAGATTTCCATGTTCATCAGTTTAACTGATGGAAAAAAATTAGTTGAAAACACCTCCCTTTGAAATTTCTGCCCCAGGGGGCATTTACATCCAAATTCTGAAGTTTTCTGCACGCAGTATTCCAATAGACAATTATGTACCATGTTTCATTTTTCCACACTAACTCAATACGCCAGGAAAAAAAATACTTGAAAACGTCGGCTCACAAAAATATGCCCCGAGGGCATGAATTTAAAACTTTTCATTTTTACTGAACTCATCGTCTCGGTCTATGCGAAGTTTCAGCTTTCCATGTCTCTCCGTTTTACTCAAGCAAAAATAATGTTATGGTGGGGGAATGAGTAACGGGACATGGAAGGCAAAAAAGAGCAAAGGTAAGCCAAGGAATGGTAGGGATTTGAATCTAGTCCTTCTGATTGCCAATTAGAGATACTACCACTACAACACCGCATGCAAGTTATCCAGTTGGCTCTCTGAATGCCATCCTCATCTTTCACAAGATATTTTTAAGAAAAACGTTTTCCCCCGAAAAGGTGTACCCGCAGGACATGTACCTTCAAAGTCATATTTTTTCTGAACTTTGCATCCTAAAAGGTACATATGTACCAATTTTCAGATTTCTAACCCTTATACATCGTTAGAATTAGCGTCAGTCAGGCATTCACGATCGTCTATACATATTACATATCTGAGGTAAAGCCAACGACTCGTTTTGGAAACACGTATAAGTTTTAAATGTGAAAAATAGGAGTATCATTTGTGTACGATTGCCAAATGAGGATATTCGACATTTGCGTGTGGATCCTGGCCACGTGATGCCCAATTCAGTAATAATCCCTTCCGCATCACGCACTGCTTGGACATCGATGAAATCGAAGCATTTGCGATCGAGTAAAGTTGTCTGGGCATTCTATTCGAGTACGACAGTCGTCGATGACACCGATCACTCTGGAAATCCGGCAATATCAAATAATTCTCTTCGTACAACTACTCCGTTTTTCTTCCTAGGAATGTAATGAGCGATGCAAATGGGCAATGGCTTGCGCCATTTCATTTCTCCAGGAATCGACGCCACATAATAAATCGAAGGGTCAGCACAACAAGCAAATCGAAAGGCGTTCATGATTCTCTCCTTACTTTCGAGTCATATTAATTATCATGATTACTCAGGGGTACTTGAACAAGTCACGATTCATTGCACAAGAACAGTGACTTCTTATCTGTCGATGAAAAGTTAAGGGATACATTCCACGATCTTTGTTCCTTTCGAGTTCAGTGCGAAGCAGGTCGACATCATACCCTGATCCCTTTCCAAATTGGTATCTCACTCGGAAGTTCTAATCGACATATTCTTCAAAGGGATTAAGCACAGAACCTGTATTTATTCCCCCCCAATACGACGATGAGAGCACATCGACGTTATCGAGCGGATCCATAAACAGAATCCATTGTGCTTCACCAATACACTGCAGCGCTATACTCATCGACATGGTACACGAACGCTGGCATAAATATCGGCAAAACATGCCCCATCCCTTGTCTGGAAACGACACCTTTTTCAGCTTCTGTTNAATATCGGCAAAACATGCCCCATCCCTTGTCTGGAAACGACACCTTTTTCAGCTTCTGTTAGACATCGGTTAGACAATGGTTAAAGGAAGATAGCGTTCATGCAATCCATTTTTTGGCCATAGACATCGGTTAACCGATGACTTTCGAAAACACCGGGAAAACATCGTTCATGCAATCGGTCCTGAAAAATTCCTAGACACACATGGAATCGAACAAAAGTTATTTAAAATCAAAGCTCGCCAAATATTGCGAAATTCGCGATTTTTCAGCGTCAGCATTGAATGGTGGTTGGACATCGTAAATATAAAATCAATACATTTCATTACATGACAACACAGCTTAGCATTCTCGGATTTGATCTCAGAAACAAATCTTCAAAATACCGGGAAAAAATGCTTCTGGGACGACCTTGAGGCTTCTATTATTATCACAAAGAAAGTTATACTGTCCGAACTCGGTTGGTTTATCCCATACCTTTGGCATTCAATACGGATGTCTGCTCAACCTCATCCTTCCACCTATTCTAAAAACTGGGAAGATTAGGAAGAGTTTCCTGAGTGGGATGCGACTCGTTCCACCTCACTGATGGTGTTTAAAGGAAAAAGGGCTGATGTTTTAATTTCCTTAAATGCATTTACGCGAATGCAAGAAGGGCGACGGACATGTGTGGATACGTGAGTTAACATTTTTGAGCTTGGGGAAGTCTATGAAAGCAGTGAAGTTCCCTAACGTTTGTTTTCGTCTTTCCCATCACTAAACGTTTCACTGGTGTTATGAAAATGGCTTCAGGACAAAGTCAAGTGGCAATTTCCAGTCTGCATGTGAATCGCTTTCTCCAGGCACTTTTGAAAAATAAGGTAATGCAGACATTTAACAGAATGTTTGGTTTTATCTGGTTGAATATTTAGAATTCACCATCGATTGCGGGAATGGAAACGGATTCGATCCACGTGAAGAAGTCGCCGCCGCGCGGGGGATCCATCTCCAAGCCGAATAGTTGAAAAATCGCAGGGTTCAGATCATGAAAATCAGTTCCGTCCGTGCATGTTCCCTCAACGCTCATCAGGAAGCTGGGATTCAGTACGATCCACTCCATGCTACATCCACATACGACGGGATTACCTGCGATACAGGCCCAGGGGTGGAAGTCCATGCAGGAAGATGCATCCCAGAGCAGGTCGGGAAGACTTGAGAGACTCACTTCGGAAATCGACCATGCCTTCCCTATGTGAGGGGACATTCATCATGGGGCGGTAGGACCCTTCCGTTAATTCATCGATATTGTTCCTGTTAAGCAAGATACTCGTGTCGACCGTCAAACCTGGAAATAATGAAGGATGATCCCCAGATGCAAGTCACATCCCAAAGGGAGGCAACATTTTTCAAGAATCGGTGAGGATGGTAAATGAAAAGAAGTCTGAAGCCGCTCAGAAATTGTGAGGATATGGATCACACACGTGATTGCGTGCGATTCCAGACCCGAGATTCTATTATTGGCGAGATGCGCCAGTCTCAATTCTTTACTGTGAAATTCTGTCAACCGAGAGTTTGCGTGTCTAGTATAACGGTAACCCATTCCCCTTAGTTTCAAAACACCCTGCACCCAAAGCTGACGACATGGAAGGAAGAATATACTGTACAACTCACGTTAGTTTCGTGAATGGCCAAATGCCATCACTGAATGCCGAGAACGCCTCATCGATCGAAGTTACGATGCTGCAATCGACGTAAAGAGTCTGGAGCGCTTCAGACAGGAAATTCATATACAAGCAGGGGGAAATGTCGTTGGGTTGGGGACACAGGCTCTGCCCGCTGGTCCAAGGGATGGAAATGAGACGCCGGACGAATAGGGAGAGAGAGGCCAGACATTCCATCATCTTGCGGGAGGGAGGGCGGGTGTCGGAATGGACCAGCGCCGCTTTTTGGGGGATCATTTATTTTGCCTTGATTCTGTCTGGTCCGTGATTTTGCGCATTGGCAGCGAGATGGGCGGAAGCCGATGCTTCCAGAAAAATTTTGCGTTGGGCGACCAAGCAGCTGGGGTTGGAGGTTTTCAAGGAAGAAGATCGAAAGACGTGTCGTACGTCGGGTAGGTGCGACTTTCCAGGGAATCCGTGACATGTCTCCGATAAGGAGACGGATGTAGACAAATTCAATGATGGAACATGGCATTGTTGACGAAACACGCAATAGATAATGAATGAATGAATGCTAAATACCAATTAATTGGTATTTAATACTAATGAATTGAAACAATTGTTATGCCCTCCCGTTTCCCAAATTTCGAAATTCATGTGCTGGTTTTTCTGACGAGCAGAACGAATCAGAAACTCCACATGTCTAGCTTAATTTTATCCGGAATTCGGCTATTGCCGAATGTTACTACTTAACTTTGTGAAGGACACAACACTTTCACCTCCAAAACATGTTGAATATCGACTTTGATCACTCCCACAGTCCCCACAATCTTTCAATCCCTACCTCTAGTTTTCTGACTACGACGCTAATGTGCAAGTCTATAACTAAGAGAAGCAGGGGACTATCTTGAAAGTGAAAGAAGCAAATTGGAGTTATGAAGAATATTTAACGTTTTATTTGACTACTTTTGACTGCAACTCGGGTTTCATTTGCAAGGCAATTTCAAAGGTCTGCCATTCTGACACATGCTTCACATTTCTGGATATTTTGCCTTGAGAAATAACCTGATGGACGGTTTGCTATCGCATAACGAGACGCGTGAAAGAGATCTGACAGGACACATGCACTCCCTCATTCGAAAATTTAACGTTTAGAATGTCTAACTTTTGAAAAAGCACAGGAAGAATATAGACTTAGATGAAGTAAAAGGAAACCGAATCCTGGTTTTGCTTAAAAGCTAGCTTAATCTTCACACTCTCGACTTCTTGCTTAGAGGTATATACAGCACATTTATGAATTAGCGTTCCAGACAATCCCCTCGATCCAGTCCAAGTAGGAGGAGACCTTCGTGTAGAAGCCTGGTAATTCGGTTCCACACCCAAAACCTTTAGACACGATCCCCAAAACGGTGTACAAACAGCTGTCTGGAGTGCGAGGAATCGTCATCGGTCCACCCGAATCACCCTGCAAGAAGAAGTTAAACCACATTCGATGAGGCGATCCCCGCATGTCGACATTAAAACGACTTCCGGTCGCTTTACCTGGCATGAGTCTTTCCCTTCCTTTCCGGCGCAGAGGACTCGCCCGGTCGCACCCTCTGGGTAGACTCTCCCGAGAGCGAAGGGGTACCTCGAGATCAGGGCGTCGCAATCGGATGAACCGTACAAAGGAACGGAAACTTTGAGCAGGACGCTGCTCGCCTTCCCGCCTGAAAGGAAAATGCAATCCACCTCTAAGGGATTCGGGACTTTGCTCGTTCTTGTGAACGGTGTCATTGCAAACCGAAGGAGGTGGTTCCCCATCCTGTGACGGTTACGTTGCTCCCTTGCGGCAGCTGGTCGTCATCGGTCGCTAGACATGCGGGGTGAATTGTATACCGAAAGGGAACTTTCTGATTCAGTTGTAGTAGGGCAATATCGTGGTAACCCTAATGGATAGAAAAAATAAGTAACTTTCAGTTCTTCTGTAGATTTTCATGAGAATAATAAACAAGAAGAACAAGTTCATCCCGCCCGAACTGAAAGAAAAGTTTGTGATTGCGTACGATTATCCGTCTCCTTTTCCCCCAGTCTGGATGAATGACGACCTTGATCACTTGATAATCGGACGGGATGGCATCCAACGAATCATCGAGGTCGTGTTCCCCGAGTCTCACCGTCAAAGGCTGGCTAAAGCACAGAAATACACCTGAGAAATCGATTCAGGAAGGGGACGGCGACTCTAACTCGTAACCCTTCTCCTTAAGTCACGGCCCGCGCGAAAAGCAAAAAACGACCTACTCGTTGTTGATGCAGTGGGCAGCTGTGAGAATCCATTCCTCGCTGATGAGGGCCCCGCCGCATTTCCAAAAATATTCCCCGTTCGAGAGCTTCTCTCCCAGGAGGGCCTGGAGCAGGAAATAGGAATTGTATGAAGTACGGACACTTGGAGTTGTCCGCATGTTATGAAGCTGGAGATCATTTCTTTCGCGAAAGTATCAAAATTTAGTTGAAACCCCTTCGGTTCAACTGAAAGAGAAGTCGGGTCGCCCCTCAATGCGCGAGGAAAGAAAGACAGAGGACGTGCTACGTTGGAAAGCCGTCTCTCGCGTCTCCTTGCGAAAATTCTCGTTCAAATCTCTTTCCCTATCCTCACTCTTTCCGAAGCGTACTGTGCATGATCGTGGAATGCATTAAAATTGCCTTTGCATTCGACAACTGTTGGTCAAAATTTAGGGTCAACAGATAACCACTGATTTTGATATCCCTGTATCACAAGAACTGTCCTTGCTTGAGCCTTGATTAAGGTGTCGATTCACTGGAAATTACTTGAGAAATTCAAATATAGTATTAACATATCACTTTAGAGAAAAACAATGTTATTTATGGACAAATAATTTGACCTTTAAATTTCTTTTCAGGAAGAATCCTACTTTGGAGATACCTGCCGTAGAGGCACACCTTTCCGGGGAACATATTTAATATATATGCAAATAGTTTCATTTGCTTCAATCCAACGGAGAGACTTGGAAAGTTGAAAATTGGCAAGAACGTGACTGCTGGCACATTGAGTTCAGGAAAAATGTCAAACATCCAAAATATTGTAGGGGGGCATATTTCTTGGGAGGCCTTACGTTTTCAAAAAGTTGTTCTTATCCCAGCGAATCGGGCAGAAATCGAAAGGTGCAGCTGGCACACGCAATACGGACGTGATGTTGATTCTAGTAAAAATTCTTCTTTTTTTGTGCGTCCCTTCAGGACACAGCTCTTGTGTGGGTCGCTTTTCCAAGGAAATTTTTCCAGCAGCAAAAATGGGAAACGTATGAGGCTGAAATTGGGTGGCATGGAGTTCCCTGAGTTTACATTTCAGAAGAAATCATGGAAGTAATGATTTTGTCATATGTCACGTATTTCAATGAAAAAGTGCTTTAAAAACGTTTTTGCCATTTCGCAAATAATGAATTTAAAAAATCACTATCCAAATTAATGGAGCACCGAAGGAGCGACCACTGCACGTTTGTTTGCACGAAGGGCAAAGAAACTCGCTAGCAGAATATATTTAGCCTCAAAGTCAATCCCCCCCTGGGGAAAAGTCATCCCAATGGTCAAGCGGCTATCTTCGGCCTTAATTAAGATAGGAAAGGGTTCCACAGTTAACAGTTAAACTTGTCTCTCGAGAAGAGTAGACCAATATCGTCAATTAATCCCCCTTTTTAAGCATTGTGTAAAATATACGCATTTAGGAAAAATAATTTGCTAACTTCATGATACTAATTCTTAAACCAGAGAATATAATTCGACCATCGTTTTCCGATCAATTTACCACCTTTAGTCGAATACACGCGACAACATCAGTATGCGCTTGTCAAGTAGAATTGTATGGAGCAATTATCTCCGAGTAACTTAAATCGGTAACAAAATCTATTTCGGAAGCTAGTGGCTGTTTTTACTTGGCGAGGCTTTAGTTGTTGGAGTGCCAGGAGTAAATATGCATGCAAGTCGACGTGAAATGCAGAACCTGATGAGAAAATTTGACCGTCAACTCCAGAGAGTATTCGTAAAACTAATACATTTTCTTCGAAAGTCTATCTTCTGCAAAACAGGGAACGAACAAGTGGAATTTCAGTAATTGAAAAAAAAAAATCAGGTTTCAACGCTCTTATGCTTTAAACAATGTGGGATAAATGAACTTTGAGCCTAACATTTTTCCTGACTTAACAAATGACAACGATAGCCGTTTCACCATTGGGGGTGACTTTCTCCCCAGGTGGCCACCTTTGGGGCACAATATCTTCTACACCGTTTTGAGCTAGGTGCTAAAATTTTGGAACCTTTGTTATCCCAAAGAGTTCATCATGGATGAATTTATTCAGTCGCACACGCAACTACGCTTTCGATTACTTTTGCTGGAATAGCTCATTATTGGTAGGTATCTTCTGATTCAAAAATTTACTAATGGAATATAATATTTTCCTCCTTGTAGTTTTGCATATGAGAGCAGAATTATTTACTCGTCATGGCTTTTTTTTGTAAGATTTGAATTTTTGAGGGGTTTTCACTGAGTTTAAAAGTAAAATCATTTGTCAATAAAAGGCGTTGCATATTTTGAACCAAGTGATGTGCATGCTAATTTTGAATTTCTCATTTAATTTCCAGTGAATCGACAGTTTAATCAACGTTCTAGCAAGAATATCAAAAGCGGAGGTTAGCCAGTGACCCTACATGTTGACCACCCTGTAGCATCTGACTTATTGACTTAACGGGGCTGAAATTTTGCACTTCCGAAAATTTGGATATAAGACCATTGCATAGTCCATTTTATCCAAATCTGAGATGGAAAGGTGCTAATTGGCCCATTTTTGGGCGATTTCTCATGGAATGACCCAAAAAAGAAAAACTTTCAAAATTCATATTAATACTCTTGGGTTGAGTCATACAGCAAATTTAAAAATTTAGTAGCAGGTTAATCAAACTTCAGCTTCGCTGAAATCCTCAAATTTCACAACTCATCACCCAATAGCATGTGACAACTGGGAATTTCACAGATCGGAGCAACTTGACATACTATCTTTCTTCTTTGAAATGAACTGAAATTAGAAGGAATATAGATTCTCACTTTATTCACATTTTTCATGTGGGAACTTTGCAACAGATGAATTTCCATATTGTTCGATACATACTAGTATAAGAAGCAGGATACCTAGAAAATTTCATTCCGAAGCAACATTGATGTATTCTTCTCTGGGAAGGGTACATTTGGTTCATGTTCTTCTTAATCTTTTCAGAAACTAACAGTTACTCGGAAGGAATTATGCACCAAGCCATGGCCAAAAACCAATCTTACAAAGCAAATTACCTCCCCTACTTCTTGCAATGACACAATCGCATGATGGAGATTTCATGACTGATACATAGAACACTTTCGCATGATGGATGTCAACCTCATAATATTACATTTCCTATTTTCAATTGGTTTTTGGAAATGTCAACTTTTTTTTCCTTCCGCATGGCATTTTCCTTTGGATGAGCCATCAACACAATGAATTGACTGTGTTGTTGGTAATATTATGGTAATGGCTATTCCATTGAACCTTTTAATAAGGATTACCTTAATTTTAATATATATATTATGATGGCGTTAGCTCTATGTGTACAATATGACAGACTGCTGTCTCAATATTTTCTAACGATTCAGCTGGGTTTATTACATTGTTCTTAAAATTTGAGTGCCGCAGGCCCTCGAATATGTACCAAAATATGCAGCATATATTAATAAATATAGATCTTCAGAGACCTGAGGCATTCAAGGGACCGCAAAAATATATTCCCAGGTTGCTAGTTGTAAATCACTGTCCTACACCCTCAACTGCACCATTGCCTTGATTCGTGTGAAAGAATTGGCGAGACGTATACCTAAAATGACCTGGAAGGGAACATTTAGAGACTGCACATGCATATCCCAGGTAACAGAACCAATTTTTCATAATTTTTGGTCGGATATGACCGCTTCGATGACTTATCTATAATCCCCTAAAAAGTTTGGAAAAAGGGAGGAAGGGGTGATATTAATATATATATATTACAAAGTCCATGAAAGGCTATGCATGGAAAAGAAGCTGAACTTCATTATAACACTCACAATGAATGCTGAAAATTTCCATTTTTAATATGCTAATGAGTACCAAATAAGTGACAGGGTGAATGACTTAGTTCTTTAGTATTTGCTAATAATATTAGTATTCATTTGTGTTTTTGGAAACTACAGAGATTACGTTTTTCAGTGGAATACAATTTCCACAAATTTTTATGGTAAGACTCCATCGATCACTGGGCGTGGACGCGCACATTTCTAGTTCCCCTAACAATGTTTAATTTAATTTAATTTAATTTAATTTTTGGAAAGCTGTCAGCGCGACAGTCCTCGAATGGTCCATATATTTTACTAGCGAGTTTGTTTGCCCTTCGGGCAAACAAACCCGCTATGGTCGCGCCTTCGGCGCTCCCTTACCTTAGATAGTGATTAATTCATTAATTTTTTGCGAAATGGGACACACTTATTCAAAGTATGTCCCCATTGACACGAATGACATATGGGGTCGATTGTCTTGATTTTTTTCATCAAAATCATTACCTCTATGATTCTGTGTGCCTAACTTGAAATCTTTTCTTGTGTCCTTTTTTGAAAGGGTGGAGAATACATTTTAAAAAACTTCTCTCCAATAATCTACGCTGAGGATACATTTTTCAAAATTAGAATTTCTCCTCTACTCAGCCATCAGAGTACGTGTTTGATGGTGAACTTCTGAGGGAAGTTTAAATTTTCTGTCTCTGTTTCGTTGGATCAAAAAAAAAGCAGGAAAATGGGACTGAAAAAAGTGCACTAATGGTGTTAACGAATTTCATTTTCATTATTTTGAAATGTAGACTCATGGAACTCCATGCCACCCAGTTTCAGCCTCATAAGTTTCCCCTTTTTGCTGACGATAAAAAATATATTTGGAAAAGCAACCCATCCAAAAGCTGTGCTCTGGGGAAACGCTCAGCAAAAGTTTAATTTTTTCTTAAATCATCATCACGTCCGTTATGCGTGCGATAGCTGCTATTTTTCCATTTCTGCCCGATTCGCTAGGATATTAAATTTTGGAAAAGCAACCCATCCAAAAGCTGTGCTCTGGGGAAACGCTCAGCAAAAGTTTAATTTTTTCTTACATCAGCATCACGTCCGTTATGCGTGCGATAGCTGCTATTTTTCCATTTCTGCCCGATTCACTAGGATATTAAAAATTCTTTAAAACGTTACGTCCCCATGAAATATGCCCACTAAAAATATTTTGGAAATTTGAGATTTGAGCTGAGTGCTTCACCAGTCACAGTACTTGCTATGTTACAGCTTTCCATCGGTCTCCGTTTGTTTGAAGTAAAGAGAACTATTTTTAAAATATGTTCCGCGAAAAGGTGTGTCCCTATGGCGTGTATCACCAAGTGGAATTTTTCCTGAACTCAGCATGTGAATAACTACTTATATCAGTCAGTCACGATCGTCTATATATATTTGATGAAAGTAGAATTGTTTCTTTACTCTGCTATTCATCAGGTACTTCTTTGCCAAGTTTAAACTTTCCTGCACCCTCCGCTTTGCAGGATCCATGCTCCCAGGGGATGGATAAACATTTTTGCATTTTTCCTTATCTCATCGTGTCGGTATGCACGTCCATGCCACGTTTACGCTTTCCATGTCCAACGGGACATAGAAGGCAAGAGAAGCCAAAAAAAGGCAAGTGGGGAATTGAACCCTGGTCTCCCGATTACCGGTCCAATGTGCTACCACTGCACCACCGAACCTCAGACACACAGTGATAGCTTTCGATGACATCCTTATCCATCACGATTACTATTTTCTTCTTCTTCCCCCAAAATTTGTACCCCCAGGGCATAAACCTCCAAAGTCGGATTTTTTCTGAACTCTGCACACCAAAAGGTACATGTGTACCACGTTTCAGATTTCTATCTCTTCTGGAACATAGTTAGAATTAGCGTCAGTCAGTCAGTCAGTCACGATCGTCTATATATATATTAATATATTAGATAGAAGAGACAAAATGAATAAAATTTCAGCATTATTTGTTCCACAGCTGAAAAATATTCGTTNTTCCCCTTTTTGCTGACGATAAAAAATATATTTGGAAAAGCAATCCATCCAAAAGCTGTGCTCTGGGGAAACGCTCAGCAAAAGTTTAATTTTTTCTTAAATCATCATCACGTCCGTTATGCGTGCGATAGCTGCTATTTTTCCATTTCTGCCCGATTCGCTAGGATATTAAAAATTCTTTAAAACGTTACGTCCCCAAGAAATATGCCCCCTAAAAATATTTTGGAAATTTGACATTTGAGCTGAGTGCTTCACCAGTCACGTTCTTGCCATGTTACAGCTTTCCATGGGTCTCCGTTTGTTTGAAGCAAAGAGAACTATTTAAAAAATATATTCCGCGAAAAGGTGTGCCCCTATGGCGTGTATCACCAAGTGGAATTTTTCCTGAACTCAGCATGTGAATAGCAACTTATATCAGTCAGTTACGATCGTCTATATATAATATGAAAGTGGAATTGTTTCTTTACTCTGCTATTCATCAGGTACTTCTTTGCCAAGTTTAAACTTTCCTGCACCCTCCGCTTTGCTGGATCCATGCCCCCAGGGGATGGATAAAAATTTTTGCAATTTTCCTTATCTCATCGTGTCGGTATGCACGTCCATGCCACGTTTACGCTTTCCATGTCCAACGGGACATAGAAGGCAAGAGAAGCCAAAAATAAGCCAAGTAAAGGCCGGGAATTGAACCCTGGTCTCCCGATTACCGGTCCAATGTGCTACCACTGCACCACCGAACCGTAGTTTTCGATGACATCCTTATCCATCACGATAACTATTTTTAAAAAAAACTCCTTCCCCCAAAATTGGTACCCCCAGGGCAGAAACCTCCAAAGTCGGATTTTTTCTTGACTCTGCACACCAAAAGGTACATGTGTACCAAGTTTCAGATTTCTATCTCTTCTGGAACATGGTTAGAATTACGCAGTCAGTCAGTCTCAGTCACGATCGTCTATATATATTAGATATTTCGTATGACATTATTGTAGTCAATAACCATTTTTTTTTATGGATTTCGGAGGGTGTTACTAACTTATATATGAAATCATAATAACTTTATAGTACTTGATACTAACTTTATTATGATGAGTTCGAAACCATACGAGAATCAGGTCATTTTCTGGAGCCACCAAGAGTGAAATCTAGATAATTTGTCAGTGTAAAACTATATTTGAATGGAATCTGGAAACTTGACGTTAAATACTCCTCAGTATTGATAGCCATTTCTACCGAAGCTAAATCCGATTGGTCGAGAAACTGGGGAGAAGCTTGCAGGAACAAAGATTGGAGATACACCTGAATTCGCAAGGGAACTTCTTACCATGTGGGGAAATTCGAAGGCGTTGGCTTCTTGTCCACCGTGGATCAATCCTGTTTGGGTGTGGTCGCAGGTCACGTTTTTCAACGAGGCTTTGTACTCCTCGCATTCTGCTCGGGTCATTATAAGGAGAGCCATCGCGAACTGTGAAGGTCACATGATTCGTCCATTGACAACAAGGTGGCTTACTGGATTTGCTGATTCGTTTTGCGGAACGGAGAGGAACTGCCGTCGGAGTTTCGAGGGCGGATGGTGTTCGGTCGCAGCAGATGACGGGCACATCGGATTCCACGGAACACAATTGGGGTCGGTAGGCGGATGGATTCTGTCGGAATTTTGCTAGTGCTTCGGGACACTCGTTGAACTTAGTGCATACTCCTCCATTAGGTAAGCATGGATCATCCGACCGGAAGATGACGTTCCTTCGCCGACCATAGGCAAAATGGTCAAACGAGCAGATGAAGAGGACAACAAGGATGTCCTTCACTGGAGACATTCCCCTGAAATTGCGTGCGACGTGCCATCGTGCATTCTATATATTTATATGTTATCCACCACTGGTCCAATCGCGCTAGACTCACTGTGTATACATCCGTTGATAAAAGTATTATTTCGAGAGTGACCCGTCCGGATGTTCCTTTCTGATAATAGGCTCTTGAAGAAAAGTTTCGCTTATCTACCATTACATGGAAATGCTTCTTTTTCTTCAGTCGAGTTCTATCGACTGTGCTTTAACTTTCCTGCCCCATTTCAACACGTTATTTGCTGAAGGGTTTCCACATGAATGGGCGTAGCTTGTGTAACAAAATGGATGAGCTTCCAGGTAAGGTGCAAAGAGTTGGTGTCATGTCAATTGGCATGGACATTGTGAAGCCCTGACGTCATGGATGAGAACTAGACTTTCAGAGGTTCTGCACTTTGCGCACGGATCGGTTCGCAGAAAGGGAGGCTTCACGCTACATGCGGCAATTGAGCAAGACGTCTGCAATGGGGAGGACTCTACTACTTCCAAGAAATCTGATACAGGGAGCTGAGTACTCCCCGAGAGGATGAAATTCTTCTTCATGGTCGGTGAGAAGCGCCGGTGAAGATGATTTTGTTGGTCGTGATGGTGATGCCTTTGACAGTGGAAGGAGGTGATACGTGAAGGATGCCGAGTGTTGAGATGTTGGAAATTAGCTGTAAATAATCCCTTGGAATGGAAAATTTTGCCTCATTCTTAAGATTTCCTAAGAGGCGTTTTCCTAAGATATCAAGCGAAGAAGACGCTGCCCGAAAAAAAACTTCAATACGCCGGAACCTCTCACAAGTTAAATTCCTGTCACAAGACTGCAGTGCCTGGATACGCTGTTGCTTCTCTTCAACAGGTTTTTACTGCACGCAATGTCTCGTTTCAGTGTCTTGTTATTTTATCATTTCATTTGCATCTTCCTGATTATTCTTACACGGCTTGGTTTTCTTAGCGAAGTTCCCTGCACCGGTTGCACCTGCAATAATACGATACAGCTCTTGGACAACATATTTCAGGATCGAAGTTTTACGGCATGAAATGCAAAATGTGCAGAAGTCAGATCCAATTACTTGCTTTCATGACATGACGACGATGAGGTCGTGCTCAGGTTAGACCTGTGCCTGGGACTTGACTTTTTTGCCGGGGACACGTGATTATTACGATTCAATGAATATCGAGGGTATGCCATTAAACTGCAATTTAGATTTCAGGCCTATTCCTTCTCTGCAAGGAAAAGGTAGCCGTATGCCCGGCCCAGAATCACTGAGAGTGTAATTAATGTAATGGTGGCTTTAATTGTCATTCCATAGATGTAAGTCAAACAAAGGAACCACATATAACTTAATTGCTACAAAATGTGCAAATGGGAAGTTGTAAGATCTCATAGGTTTATGCGTAACTCGTGGAACGTCGAGAATCACATGATATCATGACTCACTCGTGATAATTCATTTTGCATATACTCATAAGATATTCATGTGTATCTCATGAGGTTTTTCAACAGGGGAATACATGGCCTTTTGTGCCGTGTTTCATTGACCTATGTCATTGACTAATTTAAAACGATAGCGCGGCGGATGGAGGGAAAATGGCTCTATTTCGTAGTTGGCTTCATGAGGAGTAGGATGGAATGGTCGGCTGCATTGTCGCTCCTAAAAAAAAGGAAAGTGCGGAGAATACCTAATTTCTGCTTGGCGATTGACTGAGGTGTATACTCTCCAGCGTTTTCTCTCCGGCGTAGAGGAAGAACTGTTCTTCTGGTACCTATATCGGAGAAAGATCAGCGCTTTTGAAAGGATTGTCGCTCGCACAGTAAGATTGGGATAATATCATTTTCAAATGAGGGACGGTAGCAATTCAGATTGCAATAATTGCGCACGCGAATGCCTTTGACTCCGGTCACGAGAGCAGAGTTTCCTTGGGACGAATGGAACGCATCCATGGTATTTGGGAATATTCAATTTACGTCCAAGATGAGGGTGAGGAGCACCTTTGACTTTAAGAGACCACCCTAAATATATAATGTCTTATTTTTCTAACACCCACCAAGCAATACTTCATCCACAATCCGTAGGGTTAGCTCGGTCACAAATGGAAAGTGTGCATGTTATCATGTAGCATGAAAAGGAGGGAAGAGGGTTCAGGAAGCTGCATCTCATGGCCGAGCGGGCAAGCTCCCATTTCAACTACGAAAACGATGTACGCTCTTACCCTTTTCCCTGAGTGAGGACCTTCATCATAGAGCGGAAGTGCACTTTCATCAGTCAACTAATTCTGTTAAAGGGCAATTAAGCATTCCCCTCTTTACAGAAGTAGGAGATTGATCCATCTCCATGTTGTAAATTCTTTTTCTTCCTTCATGATTGGCGCTTAAGAGCCACTAAACAAATTCGATAATTCATGACTACTCACAGTGTGCTGCAAATTCAATAAAATTACTCCTTTATGATTATCAATGTTGACTCTTTACTGGAAATCCATTTTCCTCAACATTAAAGAAATGCTAAATCCACGATGGTTCAACGTTGATAAGACGTGATTCATTCCATGACAAATGAACCAAGGGGTAACACCAGACCCACTACGATTTTCATGAAATTTTTTTGTTTGTCCTGGGTATTCGACGAAACCAAGAAATCTGACATTTCAGCGTTATCGCATCGTATGTGAAAAAATTTACAGGTTGCACAAATTTTGGTGATACCATCTTACCTCCGATCTTCAAAGCCCTGTAACTGAAGAAAGCTTCATGCTATGTCCATGATCAATGTGTCAAATTACTCGGAATAACGTGAGAATATGAAAAGGTGACACACACGATCACTCAGTAAAATTTCAATGCTATTTATCGACAAAGATTTTGATGTTTAAATTTGGGATGAGTCCCCAAATTTAAAATTCTGAGAAAAATAATTCAGTGGAAAGGTTCATGTTTTCGCTAGCGATAGGAAAAATTAGAAAATAGTAATATTTTTTGTATTTAAGTAATCAATTTTTTAATCAGCCTGACACGACAGATGCTGCAGGTATTTTCCACAGCTCCAGTTCACGTCTATGGGACGAAGCAGGCACCGAGAAAATGAAAACAGGCGGCGTTGTTTTCTCCATTTGTCGTAAAATTTGTTGCAATTCGTAAAAACTTGGTGACAATATAAAACATTGAAAGTTTATGGAATCATACCCTTGATTGCGTGCCCCTCCATTCTTGAGAGGGAATCATCATCGAGGAGAACAATTCCCATAGCGGAATTGTGGAAAGAAAAGACACAGTTGGTCCGAGATCGCAGTTTTGACAACGATATTTCCATATACTCTCCAAGTCGGTGAAAATTACTGGCTTATTCTCCAAGAAGGGTTTAACAGCTGAAGGAAATTTATTAAAATCAGCTGAGGATCTCACTTGTCAATTTAAAACTAGTGAGCATTAAGCGATTAACATGAAAAAAACATATGACAGCGATTAACATTTCCCATATCATAATGCTAAGAAAATTGTTCTTGGACTATAGGTACGGGGTCTTCAAAATGCCAGGCAACCCAAGCAGTTATGTTCCTTAGTACCATAAGCTGAGGTAAATGAACAATGGCAATTTATCTCTGTGGTTGATCGAGTTTTTTCAAACACTTTTTTTTTTCACTGGAACCTTATGCTACTTTCGGTTATGTGGCGTCACTACCAACTTGACCTGAGAAAAAATGTTGTGCCAAACGTTTCCATCTCTTTGTTTTACGGTCATATGAGACCATGTGCATTGGATTACGGTAACAAAATAAATATGGAATTTGAATGCGTGACCAACTTCATTGATTTTTTTTCAGTCATATCATCCTATGCTAATGTCACCCCTTAAAGCGAAAGGAGTGCACACATTTGGAAGAGATAAACCAGCCAACAGTGTGGTTATTTGATTCCTGAGGGTTTCTCCATGACAAATCGCATCCCCTATTACCCAATCGATATTATCCATGCATGTGTTTATACATTGTATGCGGGGAAAGATCAGTTATCGCATGAGAATTTCTGGATACTACCGTTTTTTGGCAATTTTAGCGCCATCTTGCTACGATTGTGGGAACGTGTGTTCCAATAGCTGGGATAGGTGGCTCCTTCTCCCATTGAACAAATACCAGCTTTCCTGAAAGACCTCAATTTATGCCATTCACTTTAGGAATGTTGCAATGGAAGTGTTTGTGGGAAGCCTTGAGCAAGTAAGCCCCACAGGGAGGAGACAGAAGAAACTATTATTGCACTCCCCTCAAACACTAGGACTCTCTCCCCCTCGCAGAGCGCCTAAAATCGAGCCAGGCAACAAGTAGTGATGGGCTAAATTCACCCCTCCTAAAGTCATACACTTGCTTACTGATTTACGGTTATGACCACTACCACAGCAATCAAAGCAAATATCTGTAGTACCGAGGACATAGGTTTTCATCAAAACCTCCACTGCCACATTCTGATCCCCGCGAAGTCGCAAGAATTAGTCTTTCGATGAAGATTTTAATTTTCCGTTTCATGAGGGCTACGTTTCCTTTCTCATTCGTAAAACAAGCAGAAAACCTCGAAATCTACTCATTGACTGGCTGACGTTGTTCAGGCGAAGATAATGAGACCTTTTCACAAAAATCAATAGGCGTAGTAGCGCCTAATACCTTTCTTCAACCCCTTCCCGCCACAATATTCAACCGCCTCGTATTCCAGTCTGAGAGCACCGACAGGAACGAAATTTGGCATACTTCATCCTCTCTTCACTACGGAATCGCTCCAGCAAATTTTAAGCTCTGAATTCACCATCACCTTAGTTATTGCTGTGCCGAGTTTCACATTTCTATATCTGTACAATTCAGTAGACAAAAAAAAATATTTGAAAACGTCACCCCCCAAAAATATTTCCCCTAGGCATGTATCCAAAAACTGACCTTTTTCCTGAACTCAGAGTCCATGTCACGTTTTAGCTCACGTTTCAGCTTCCATATTAATTCATTTCACTTAAGCAAAAAAATATCTAAAAATATC